TCAGAGCAGTTTTCCAGAGACAGGCAGCAGAGCTGGAAACCAGCAAACGAGTACAGCAACAGTGACAAAAACCTGATCAGTGAGGCAGCGTTTCAGAGAAAAGTTTCATCGAGTCTTGGAGCCAACTCAAGGTAGTAGAACCATGCAGCTGTGGTTTCCAGCATGAGGAGGGAATTCATGCTCAGCTAGGATACACTAAAGGCAAAGGTCCAACGGTTCTGCTGATGCCCAAGTTTCGAGATGAAAGCCATAGATGGAGGTTTCAGATGCTTGGGGACAGGAAGCAGAACTGTTATCAGTATGCTAACACGCATGGAGTAAAAGTTAAAGCAGAGCTCAGTGAACTGAGGAATCGGAAAGGGCTACCTCTCCAAATGCAAGGGACATCGTTCTCCTAAGGAACCAGGAAAGTGTGCTGAGCCAAGCTCTGGCCACACATATACTCTCCTATAGAAACCCTCTCCCATTTGTCATGAACAACCTCCAAAACACCCTCTGGCACGGCCCTGGGACTCAAATTCTTACGGCTCTACTCTTTCAATTAAGATTTCTCCAGAAACACCTATAGCTGCCCAAATCCTACTGCCCTACCATCTGATGGAATAGTCTCTCCTGTTGAGCTTGGTGCTAGGGGACAGGAAGACAACTTAGGGTCCCCAAAGAATGGGAAATTCATCATTTCCCCAGTGGGTTTTTCACCAGATAACATAAAATGCCCCCTAGTTATAAGTACAAACTTGAGATGCATGGACCATCATGGACTGGAGATGACAGCAGTAGCTGCTTAGGCAACTTGCCGAAACACACAGCACACAACCTGTGTCCTTCCAGCCTGGCTGGATAGGGACTTTCTTCTCAGGATTGCTGTGAGAATTTACCTCTGCTGACTGAAGCCAAGAGGACAGAAGCCATGTGAAACCTTTGCGGCTGTGTTTGTAAGTGCCAAAGCAAAACTTTGCAGCATTGTAACAATCTGTGTGCTTCTAACGTGTGTGAGCAATGAACACAGTGGAAACGCCGTCATCTCCAAGCAAACTGTGTCAGATGAGCTCCGTCACTGACTTTCAAAGGCAATGTCATCTGGAAACAGCAATGGCTTTTAGGGATGCGTACGCAGTAGGGAATCTCTCCTTAGTTTCTTGTGTATCTTCCCACCAAATCTGATCAGTTTGACTCTGCTAACCCATTCTACTTTGACTCATTACAAAACACAGACGTGCCATACAAGAGACATTTTCAAGGCTGTATGCAGATATAGGTATCTTCATACAGATTTGAACACAAAACTGAAGGAATACTTTTTTAAACAACTACTTTGAATCTAGGTCCTTGGGATAACATTACTATTATTATTATTATTTTAAACTTGTCTTTTAGCCTATATGTGTGTATGTATTTATATGTACATACACATATATGTATATATATGGACATTTAACTTAAGTTTTATAGCCCAAGGCACAGACTCCCATCCTCCTACCCCAGTCTTAGTGCTTTTGCTCCTTTGACTCTGATCTGGTCTGGCTGTGACACACCATCTGTCTACTCTTCCTTACCAGTCACCAGGGACATGGGGTGTCACTGACCCTGCCACGTTCAACAGTGGAGGTAATGACGCTCACCCGCAACTGGGGCTGATGCATGGTGACTCCTCATGCTGCCCCTCAGGTTTACAGGGTTCACTGGAAAACGCCTCCAGTTGGAGTGTTTAGATGGCCTTTTCCTGGCATTCATTCTTTCTGGGCCATGATTGCTGCACTTACTGGGTCATTACAACATCCATGTTAAACCTGTGAAAACTGTACCGATTACTAATAGTCATCTATGATTTGATCTTTAAAAAAAGTACTGTGTGACTTTCATAGCTCCAAATATTTTTCTTTTTCAGGGAAAAGGAATCCAGGTTTGTGGTTAATAAAGACCAGTGATGCTTTCCAAGAAGTCTGTTATCCTACAGTCACTGAAACATTGAAAAACTCGAGGAACTTCAGGACGATACAGCTGTGCTAACTTAGGGCTTGTTTCTGGTTACCCTTGCACCTGGCTTGTATTCGAATGGCAAAAAGTAGGAACTTTTACACGATGGTTCCTTTTTTTTTTTTTTTTTTTTTTTTTTGGTTTTTACAAGACAGGGTTTCTCTGTTTTGGAGGATGTCGGTCCAGCCCAGCCTCGAACTCACAGAGATCCGCCTGCCTCTGCCCTCCTCCGCCAAGTTTGGATGAGGCAATCCAGCAGGAGGAATGGGTCCGTAAGTCAGGCCATAGAGTCAGAGACATCCCCAGCTCTCACTGTTAGGAGTCTCACACAAAGACAGAGCTACACAACTGTCACATGTGTGCAGAGGGCCGAGGTCATCCCATGCAGGCTCCCTGGTTGTCAGTTAGTTTTCTTCTGGTGCTCTCAACACCAGTGGCTCCTACAATCTTTCCTCTCTTTCTTCAGCAGGGTTCCCCAAGCTCTGCCTAATGTCTGGCTGTGGGTCTGCATCTGTTTTCATCAGTTCCTGGGTGAAGCCTCTCGGATGACAGCTGGGCTAGGCACCAATCTATGAGTATAGCAGAATGACTCCATGTGATCTAAACCAAGAGCCCAGATATGTGATCAAGACTCTGGGTTTCAGTGGGGTGTTTGTGTTACCGGCCTCACAGCATTATTATCAAGTCATTAAAATGACATTAGATTCATTATGTACATAAAAACATTGTCATATTCGATAAGTAAATGAATGTTGCCTTCATTTAAAGATAGACCTAGTTCTTCAAAACCTTAAAACTTCAAGTTGCAACAGAAGGAACCATCGAGCCGGGCGGTGGTGGCGCACGCCTTTAATCCCAGCACTCGGGAAGCAGAGGCAGGCAGATCTCTGTTATTTTGAGGCCAGTATAGTTTACAAAGGGAGTTCAGTGACAGCAAGGGCTCTCACACAAGAAAACCTGTCTCTAAAAAACAAGAAAAAAATTGTAGCTGAGGACATCCCTTCTGATTTTTAAACTGTGATTCTATGACCAAACTGACCAGTTTAGACTGTGGTTGTCAAATCTATGCTGTTTTAAAACATATGGACATCAATAGTAATAGACACAGTAGGCTCATATATGTAACACACACATTTTTTATGTCATCTATGTCCTTTTTTCTGTATACTTATTTGATGTGATTGTTTTCCACATGCCAAAATGGTTTAAGACTATAAAATAAAGGCCAGTGAAACAGATACTATCAATTATTCCAATTTAACAGCTGGAAAAAGTGAAGCATAGGGAGTTTAACCTTCCCAAAGTCACATAGCTAGCAGGTAGCATGGGAAGCCCACAGCGAGGGCTTTTCAATCAGATGAAATGTACGAGAGAAGATGCCAGCCACAGTTGAAAACAGTGCCCTGCCTGTGTGGCGAAGGCGTGTATGTGCCACGTCTGAGACAGGAAAGTAGCGGGGAAGAGAAGACTTGAGAGTGGAAGGGGCTTCTGGGGCTAGAGAACTGAGACAGCCGGAGCTCGAGGGAGGGCGTGCTGCTGCAGGTGCACCGAGGGGGCTCAGGAGCAAGGACAGGCTCTGCTCCTCCTTAGTCTGAGGATCGTTTAGTGGCTGCTCCGGTGTCAGCTTTGTTCATTAGTACAATACATGGAGCCTGGAGAGAATTCCCCCAAGCGCTTCCCAAGAAACGGCCTTCCTCCTGGCAGAGCATCAGGAAAGCAGGAGGAAGGATGACTGGGTGCTGAGTGGGTGCCAAGTCCAGGAGGGAAACTGATCCCACTCCCTGCCCACCCCCACAACCCTGCCCTGCCCAGGCTCCGTCTAAACCATAAACAGGAGCTAGAAGGAGCTGGGTCTGGAGAGACCTGGACTAGAGAGCTAGACCCAGTTGATGAGCCACACTGTCAACACCAAGGCCGGGCAGTGTTTGCTCATGTTCACACAGCAGGCATGGCAGCTGGCTGGTGAGATAAGGACTAAGACACCTGATTCATGGGTCCAAAGGAAAAGAAATGCATAAAAACCCACAGACAGAACTTTGTTCATCTGGTTGAACATGAACTAAGACTTTAAATGGCTCATTAACATAATGTAACTTATGGACTTTCTTAACAATGTGTCAATACTGGCTCCTGTATTGCACTAATGAACAACATTAATAGCAGAGCAGGGTAGGGTAGTGGGGTACACAGACATCTCTGCAATTTACCTGGCATTTGTTTCTATGAGCCTAAAACCACTCTTTAAAACAGTATTTATTGCTTTTTTAAAAACTGATTGTTATGGTCTGTTTGTAATTTATGAGATGATGAATTGATTTTTTCAGGTCTCTGAGACCACACATTTTTAGAAATACTCCCTAGCCCATGAGCTTGGGCTCTTCCAACAGGTAAAAACCCACCCCAGCTGCGTAAATGAAGCTCTGTTTTGCTGCAGAACAAAAGAACAGACTCAGCTCAAGCATAGCAGAAGCTGTTTGGAAGCTGATCAAAACTGGGAGCTTCCCCCTTGAAAATCTATAAAGTTTGAGAAACAGGTGGCAGGTGCTAGACCACAGGAAAGGTTCTACTGGGAGACAAAGGGGGAAATATGGAAACTGTTAGCCAGCTTTCTTTTGCTATGTCAAAATGCTTGGGGTAACCTGGGGTAATCAATAGACAACAAGGAAAGGACTGTATGGGCTCAAATTTTTGTAGGTTTTAGTTCATAGTTGCTGCTTTGGGGCTGTCCGGGGATCCGAGCACCATGACAGGAGAGAGTGGTCGAGGAAGTTACTGCATGGTGGCTTGCAAGTGGAGAGGAGGAGGCTAAGTTCTCAGGACACTACTGGAGGCCCCAGCCACAGCAACCTACCGTCCTTCCACCAAACCCCACCTCATAAAGGTTCCCACTTCTCAGCACCTAGCTGGGGACCAAGCCAACACATGAGTCTTCAGGGGACATGCTGGCCAACTGAAGTTCATCTTCTGTTTCCCTTCCACGTGCCTTCGGCAGGCACAGAGACAAACACTCTGCACTCATGAGGTGTAGTTAGCAATGCAGTTCATTTTTATTAGTTATAAATAAAGTACAAAAAAATCCACCCAAAGTGAATCTAAGCATTTACACAATTCCTAATGTCTCCGCCTGTTCATTGATGCACTATTGCTTTAATAGTCATAATAAATATTTTTCTAGCTTTCTGCTATAAAATAGTCTATGTAGCAAAATGTCGCACAGCACAACAGAACAGAACAGCAGGAGGATTACAAAAAAAGGACAATCAACACTGGGGATAATCCTTTCACTTACCAGGGGCAACAAATGACCCCTTGGAGAGCCTGGTGTGGTCCTCTCCACAGCTGAGGGGGGGAGACCTCATCCCAGAGTGGGGAGGCTCAAGGGTGGGTCATAGCCAGCCAGAGCATGGGGGCCTGTCCTACTCTGGCCCCACATGGCAGCACAGCATGCCCATGCGGAGCCCCGTGGGGGGCAGTGTCTGCCAGGCCTGGCAGTGTGGTGAGTGTGCTCCCCCGGCATGGTGGGTGACTCCACAGGCCGTCTCCAAGGAAAGCAAGGCTCCGGGGTAGAGGCAGAAGAGAAGCTGGGCAGCAGCAAGCAAGAAGCCCCATCACAGGGGTGGGGCTGAGGACCACATCTGGTCTAGCCACACAAGTAGGTAGAGTGGCAACCCCAGGTCTTTATTTCCTCATCCATGCCAGAACTATGCAAACCCACGGGCCTCCTGTGGAGGGTGGAGCTACCCACCAGGCAAAGGCAGTGATGTCAAGAGCCAAGAAGGAGGGAGGGGAGTTAGGAGAAGAGGGAAAGAGGAGGGTCAGCACGCCAGGGTTCCAACCCACTCACAGGCTTAATCCAGGGCCCTCTTCCTCAAGGCTTCCTCACCATCACCGTTACACAGATTAGTGAGGCAGGAGCTAGAACCCTCTAACTCCACAGCAGGCCTTTCCAACTGCAGACTCTGTGGAACACAGGCAAAGGCGGGAACGACAGGGAGAAGGCATGATACAACTCTGTATCCCAAGTTCTTGTCAAAGAGTGATGTCCCAACCGCAAAGGCTTCAAACAAGACTGGCAGATTCCCAAACACCATAATCTGGGTCTTCTATTCTACCAGCTAGTTCTCTCTGGTAATAGGACATGGGTCTCAGCTCAGGCTTGGAATGAAACCCTAGCCTTGCAAACGTCCATGTCTCATACCCAAGGATGTATCAGCCTAACTGGCCTCCTTGCCATCTGCAGGGTGCAGTATTTAAGAGGACCCCGTGGATGGCTTCTTTGACCAGATGCCCAAGGTAATTCTTAACTGGGTCTCTCTGTTCTCCATTCCTCTCCTTGCCTTCCCTCCGTCCTTTCCTCTTTCATCTCTCCCAAGAGGATGAGAGACCCATCCTTGTGGCCTCTCCGGGGACTGTATCATATTCTTTCTGAATTGAAGGACCCAAGAGATCACCCATCTTGTCTCCCTCTCTAGGAACAGAAAACTGACTTGTGGAGACCAGGGAGCACAGGGAGCATGCTGTGGATCTGGTCTGAAAACCAAAGCCTTCGGGCCTCCACCTAATAAAACAAGCTCTTTGTCTTTCAGAAGACCATGCCCGCTGTGACTGAAGGACCCCAATTCTGGAACCCTAGTGAGTGGGAGCCAGCCTAGGTATAGCCAGTGACCTCCTGTGCCCTGAGACTATCCTCAGGGGATGGAGGATGGGACTTGAGGAGGTAGGAAGGGGGAGGGAAGACAGAAAGCAGGCTTGAGGTGAGAAAGAGGGCTGGGGGAAGGGACCAAGGGTGGCAAGTGAAAGGACTACCCCAGCCTGCTGACAAGTGCAAATTATATTTATATATGTGCTAAATACAGTCACTATATTGGAGCTTTTCACTAGATCACAGCATACAGAATCAAAGGTTTGCATTTCGTATGGAATGTATCCAAAGAGGCCAGCACCACAGTAGGACAGCTTGCAATCACACACCCTGATAGTTTGGACGAAATAAAGTTCGCAGACTTTTATTTAAAATGGGTTTTTTGTTTGTTTGTTTGTTTGTTTGTTTTCGCAGTTGTCATCGTACCAATGCATGCAAAGCATTCCACTCCCAGAAACGACGCCAAAATGAGGTAATAGGAGCAATAAAAAACATTAGTATCCTTTCTAAATAAATAAATTATAATTAAAAATGCAAAACAACTATAAAAATAATTAAATAAGAACCCACAATATCTACAAGTTAGTCATAAATTATGATTGTTAAATATAAGGCATTTAAACTCACAAAACCCTGTAAACTAGCAACGTGCCATGTTTTTTATTTTTTGTGTTTTTTTTTTCTTTTTTTTTTTTTCTATCAGCTGAAATCGCTCTAGCATTTGCTCTACGCGCGCGCAGGAGATGAAACACAGGGGACCTGACAGACGTTGCTACAGCCCCACATGGGGAATGTTTGTCCCGCAGGCGGGGCGGCTCGGGGGGGATTTCTTCAGGAAAAAGAAAAAGAAAAAGTCTGGTGCTTTTTCTTCACCATTGAAAAAACTGTGCTTGTTCAGTAGGCGTAAGAGTTAAGTAAGAATGCTTGCACGGAGGCTGGGGGCCTTTGCAGAGAGGAGCTTGTGGCCTGTCACAGGTGGTGGCGAGGGTACTTGGGGGACCTGGGGGCCTGGCCAGGTGGAGGAATGTGCAGCCCTTGCTGCCCTCTGCCTGTGTCCAGCTAGATTCGTGGCATTGGGTTGATTGGTGTCCCAGGTGGACCTGCTGCGCCATGGCTGCGGTTAGGAGGCCCAACTTGAACCCGGGGCCGCTGTCAAAGGCACTCATGCGTCTCAGTCAGAAAAGGGTCTGAGTCCCTTGAGTTGAGCAGGAGAACAACGGATGCCTCTCTCCTGGAGATGGAGATGTGAGATGATGAGGCCTGGCCCTGCCTCCTCTGCACTCTTCCTCTGGCTCCCTGGCCAGTCTGGGGACCCGGAGCAGAGGCATTGGCTTTCCTCCACCCAATCAGCGGTCCCAAAACGGGAACTGGGAGGGTCTAAGTGCTACTCCCGCACCCACCTTCAGGGCATAAGGACCCCAGGTAGGTGGTGGGAAGGGGATGGAGTGGCAGGATCAACCCCTTCCCTGCCCAGGTCCTAATGTTAGCCTGGGGCATTCAAAGAGCCTGTATAAATGGGAGCAAGGAGAAAGCATCCTACCCTCTCACTCAGCCTGCATGCCTCAGACTCTGAAGCAGGTATGTGTGGGCACAGAAGGCCTCTCAGCAGTATGGGCAGCACACAGCTCTACAACTTGAAGGATGTGTTGATATTAGAGTCACAGGATGTGTGTATTGGGAGAAATTTAGCGAGCATCCAATCCAATCTCCTTGTGTCACAGCTAAGGAAGCTGAGGCCCAGCACGGAAAGGGTTGTGAGTGGAGGGTCCAGCATCTCCCAGTTTGCCAGTGAAGAGCCAGGACTAGAACCAGGATCACTAGTTCCAGTTCTCTCCTGGGTCCCTGCCATCCCATGCAGGACAGCTTTAAAGGCAAGAGCAGAGAGGGAACAGCCTCAGAGAGCAGTGACCTGCCTAGACCACCCAATCACCTCTGAGCCAAGCCATCTTCTGATGAAATCTTGGTTTTGACACAGCCATAGGGGAGGAGCAGGAGAGAATTCACAAGTTCTGGTGGCTTTTGGTCAGCAGCTCCCTGACATCCTGACGCAAACATTCTTGCTCCACCTGGTGGGAATCCTGCCTTTTCACTGGAGACATCCTTGGTGCAACCAGAATTGGAAAAGGCCACACTCAACAGGATTGGCCTTCACTGTTGGACTGCTCACCCTAAGCACCGTTGAGTGTGTGCTGTTCCACCCATCATCTCATAATTCCACCAGGCAAAGACATCACCTTAGCCATCATCTTCCTCAACGCTTGCACCAGTAGACATTCAGCAGAGATTTTAGGAGACACCAAAAGATGGGTCCCGGGAGTAGCTTTCATCTGGATAGTGGATAGGCCGCCATTCTTTCATGATGGTGTCTGTTGTGCTAGAAGGAACTCTCTCAAATCCAATTGTCCCCTGTCAATTTTGGTCCTGATTCATCCTCGTGAAGTTTCTTCCTTTATCCTATCAGCACCCTAGTTCCTTGATATGAGGGCACTGAGACTGGCTAGGGGCTGAGATTGGGATAGATTCTGAGATTCTGAGAACAGGGCAAACGAGGGATGAGGAGGATCAGGGCAAAAGAAGGTTACAGACTTCCAGGTGACCTGACATTTTCTGCGTATGATTAAGAGCTACACTTGGATTAGAATTTGGCAGATTTCTTCCCCACCTCCAATATTCTGTCCTCTCATCTCTCTGAAAAATTGCAGAGTGGTACAGAAAGCATGTTGTAACGTGGTGTCGCTAATACTTTCCATCTCATTTTCCACTCCAGTCACTAAACCCTCAGAGGCTCCCATGAGATGGTAGAGAGCACACAGTGGGCTGGATGGTGTTAATTCTCAGATCTGGGTGAAGTAGAAGGAATGTGGGACACGGGGACACACTGTTGTCTCTCCCCACTGGAACTGAGGCACAGAGAAAGGACTTTCCCAGAAGAATCAGAAGATCAAAGAGCTAGGGACACTGGCCTCCCAGCCCTGCCAAGTAGTCTCATATCACAGCAAGGGCCATCTCTGAGGGGCTGATCAGGCAGGATCCTGGAGGACGCTCAAGTTACTCCCAAGGTATGGACTCGACCTCAGCCCTGAGTGCTAGTTCAGAGCACTTTGGCCAAGGCTAAGTGTATGTACACTGCCGATGCTATTTCATCTGTATCATCTGGTTAATTGTTTGCATAGGGAGGCAGTGGCTACATTGCCTCTTTGTGGCAAGATGAGAGCTCAGGATAAAGTTAGGAATTGGCATGAGCAGGGGATTGCTGGCTCCCAGGAACATGGGGTAGCTGTAGCTGGAGGCTGTCTTCCCTGGTTCAGTGTGGAACCTAGGGAGACAGCTGGTGCCAAGCAATGGGCTCTAGGACTGGGGAGCCCACTTTGCAATGGACCCCCTTCACGGGCTAAGGGCTCTGCCCTCTTCACCTTGTCTAAAAGCCTCAGAAACCCAGTGAGACCCCATTTGTTCCTTTTAAGCCCCACCCCCTTCTCAGATGCCCCTCCCACACTCCGTGCACTGTAAACATGAGAAAAACAAAGCCCAAGGAAATAAAAAGCAAAAAAACGAGAACCCCCCTCCCGCCTCCCAACCTGGGTGAAAAATTATCATCCTTTTTCACCGTAAACAGGATTTGGCTTTTTTTTTTTCACCTTTGATTCCTTTTTTTTCTTTTTGCTCATAAAGACGGGAAGATTGGGGCTGTCGTTGGTTGGTTGGTTCGGTCAGGCACCAAAACAAGAAACTCAATGAGAAATATTTGGTGCAAGTTCAGTAATAGCGACATGTCCACCACAGATGACTACAGCACCACACACGACATTTTTCTTAAGCTAACATGCTCCGGCTGCCATCCACAGAATAGCTAGAGACCCCTACATGGTTTCTACGTGGTCAAGAGGTATATACACAATCCTTCAAAGGACAGGATTGAGGGGCCGATCACCAACTAGTACCCTCGAAATCACATCTAGTTCTCAGCAGCTGGGCCCCCCCTTCCCGCCCCTGCTTTGGGCATGGCCAGCTCCCTCCCCCCCTGCACAGCAAGGCGATGAGGCAGTCACCATTCTGGATGGGTGGGTCCTTCCCACCCCTCCTCTCCCTCAGACACTGATACCAACTCCTCTTTCCACAAAATGTGCTTGCAGGCGTCTTCTCTACGTCAAATGGCTCAGAAGGCAAAGTTTGGCTGCAAGGGCTATGGCCGTGGGGAGGGACCTGGTGAAGGAAACGGGGCATTCACTGGCTAGCTTCCTCCCTCAGCTGTCGGCTCCCAGCTGTGTCTCAATGTCCACTCGGCAGATGGGGCATTTCTTGCTCATGGCGAGCCATTGGTCCACACACAGTTGGTGGAAGAGATGCATACAAGGTAGGCGTCTGGAAAAGAGGAGAGTCAGATGACTGGCAGCAGGGGCAAGGTGATGGGAACCCCTGGGGACTTGATAAAGAGGGTTCTTGAAATCCAGATCCTGGAGTGGGGCTGTGACTGAGATGGGAAACCATGCCTGGAACTCTCGAAGCCTTCTTCCATGAAGGCCTTGGCTTTGTCTTAGACCCATCCAAGCCAATATCACACTTTGTCTCCATGACTCCTTGTTCATGGTTACCACATCTAGAATATTTCACACACCACTTTGCTAGTGCAACCATGAATCACTGTAGCTCCCCAAGGTATACACCAAGTAAGTGCAGTGACAGGTCACTAACGCCCATGAGAGAAGGGGAACTCCCAGGAATGGCCTCTTACCTCACATCTTCTCCATCCTCCAACATAGACAGACAAATTGTGCATTTCTCATCGGTGTCTGACTCTTCCCCTTCATCTTTCTTGCCCTTGCTGTCCTGGGGTCTTCGCTGTGAGTAGAAAAACAAAACATTTTAGTTACCTGGCACAGACTCCTGCTCATGCCAATCCCTAACCGTTGACTTTCTCCTACAGCCTCCTCTCTCTCCGCTCACCCCTTGGTTCCCTAGGGGTCAGTCTCTAAGTACTCACCCATAGCTTCTCACTGTTGCTTCTGGAGAGACAAGGTTAAAATCAAGCAAGGGAGAGGGCAGTAGACTGTTGTCCTAGACACTGTCAAGGGGCCCAGTGTTTGGAAAGGAGCTCCTGCATGGTCCCTTTATCCAGAAAAACCAAGCAGTATTCATTGTCCTATGTGTTTGCCATGCATTCTTTTTAGTATTAATAGCGTCATGACAATCTGCCTGCGCAAGGGTCAGCAGTCTTTATGGTAGGACTGGCCCTGCTAGAAAGGAAATGCCCAACACAACAGTGTTAAGCCCCAACCATACACCTAGTTTCTATTGCTTTTATCCACTATTTTTCATGATTTCCTTTTCACATCATAACTTTACTTCAACAGTATCTTGTTTAGTTATTTGTAATCTTTATTTCTCTCTTTTTGCATCTCATTTCTTATTCTCAATCTTTAATCTCTTAGATCTTTATTTTTCTTCATTATTTACAAAACTTTGTGTTGTGGAATATTATTTTAATTAGGCAAATATGTGTTACATTTATTTATGCTGGGGATTAGTACTTTAACTGTGCAAAGGTGTGTTACATTTGTTTCTGCTGCCTTTGTTAACATTGTAGGGATATGTTAAGTTTGTGTTGTTTTGTTTAATTATGTAAAGATGTGTTGCTGTTTCATCTTGCCTGCCTAAGGTACCTGCTTGGTCTAAAAAAAAAAACTCATCAGCCAATAGCTAGGCAGGTGAGGAATAGGCAGCCCTGCCAAGCAGAGAGTATAACTAGGAGGAGAAATCTAGGCTTGGAAGAAGAGAAGAATGAATAGAGTCAGGGAGAAAGAGAGGACATGCCAGGGATCAAAAGGTAGTCAGCTGCCAGACATGGAGTCAGCAGGAAAGTAAGATAGGAAAAAAGAAAAGAAGGAAGGGAGGGAGGGAGGGAGGGAAAAAGCCCAAGGCAAAGTGTAGATGAAGAGAAACTGGTTAAGTAGTAAGAGCAAGAAAAGAGCCTAAGGTAAAGTCAGGCATTCATATCTAATATTAAGTCTCCGTGTCAGGACTTGGGCCCCAAAGAAAGCTTGCTACAACTTTGATTCCTTTTTTCTTTACAACTTTGATTTAACTCCAACTTTTTTCAGCATTTGTTTACTATTCACTATTCATCTCCCTTTTTACTTCATCAACATTTCTTTTTAACTTGGATAACCATGGTTTTTTGTTGTTGTTTTTGTTTTTTGGCTTTTCAAAGCGGGTCTTACTGTATAGTGTTGGCTGCCCTGTAACTCAGAGACGCCCCTGCTTCTGTCTCCCAAGTTCTGTGATTAAAGGCATGCACTACTATGGCTGACTTGATAACCTTGATTATTTTATACTTTGCTTTCATTCCTCTTCCTATTTTAATGTCCATATATTCTATTTCTGTTACTAGTTAAAACATACTTCTTGTTTTATACTATTTTAGTTTCTTTTAAAATCTTTTAGAATGTTTTAACATTGTATTTGGATCCTAAGGTTTTTTTTTTTTAACCTTACATTCTTCCTCTTCCTTCTCTACACTGTTTTTCTCTTGGTTCTCTCTTGAGTTTTAATTCTCACTGATTCAGCCCTCTAAGCTTACATATTTGTATGGTCCCCAGTTGGTGGAATTATTTGGGATGGATTAAGAAGTGTGGCCGTGTTGGATGCAGTAAGTCACTGGGGGGCAGACTTTAAGATTTCAAAAGACCTGTGCCATTCTTGGTGTGCTCTCTCTGCTTCCTGCTTTTTGGATCAAGCTGTGAACTCTCAGAGGTCCCTTCTGCAATGCCTTTGTTCTGCCACTGAGGTCTCTAACCTCCTCAAACTGTAAGCCCAATTAAACATTTTCTTTTCTAAGTTGACTTGGTTATGACATTTTTATCACAACAATAGAAAAGTAACAAATGCAGAGGAGATGCATATTTGATGATTCATGGTCTTTGATACTGACACCTGGTACACAGGCAAGAATTGGGAACAGCGACTAGCCACTTGCTGTTCCTAAGCACAAGGTAGGTACTGGGCCCCGTGTATGAAGCTGCATCATCCCACTGAAGCAGCCATGTTGAAAACAGGAGGGATGGGCCAGAGTCCACAGCCACACAGCTATGCTCAGAAGAACTGAAATTCAACACTGGCTGTCTGCCTTCAGTCCCGGGTGATTACAACTATGCTGTCTTGGGTCTCAAGAGAGTGGATGAAGTTCTCTGGGTGCACCATGATGAGCCTCAGACTGCCCTTAATTTCCCTAAATTTGCTTAATTTTGATTCAACATTAACTTTTTTGGTACAGTGATTCCAGGTTACATAAAAACTGAGAGTAGTGTATTTCCAACCCACACTATAGGGAGCAGAGGAAGCCCTGAGTGATGAATTCCTTGGTGAGTGTGTATTTTGACATGTGCACAGTCATATCAATGATGCCCAAGTCCCCAGACCCATGGGACAATTGGCCAATCTGTTAGCCATATGTCCCAGTCTCAAGAGAAATGGCAAAGCTTCTCTTGAGAGTCCAAGTGTGAGTGTTTATGCACGCTTCATCAATGTATGCAAAGACTAGAAACTTCAGTTTCCTCCACCTGGATATTTACAGCCTGAGACTGCTCACCTACAGAAACTCCCACTGACACCAGCCAAGCCCTTCCCCTAGACTATGTAATAAACATGCTGAGGTTCCAGGTTCCAGTGGTAATGTTAGAGATCCCTATCTGAACCCAGCTTCATTGTATGTGCCATTGTAATTTAAAATAGCAGTGCTCAAGAGAAAGATTGGGTGGGGGGATTTTTTAACTAGGGGAAAGTGAATGAGAAAATGGGCGGAGAGGAAAGACCAGCCTCTGGGGACAAGAATGACAGAAGAGAAGAGAGGGAAGAGAGGAGAGACAGACAGACAGGCGGAGAAGCAGAAAGAGAAAGAAAAATGGGAGGTGGGCAGGGCCCTTTTAAAAGAGAACATAGTGAGTGTGCATGGGTGATGCTCTTAGTGACTGCAGCTGAGGGCGTATCTGTCAGAACCCCAAGGACAGGCCAGTACAGATGCCTGAACACTAACATGTGTGTCTGTCCTTTCTTCATTCCCTCACTGCCCCTAGCCAGGACCCAAGTCATGATCAGGATGTAGCTTCTCCTTATATGAGTATCTCATATTATGTGGTAAACCTGTGACAAATGATGAATAGATACTGGCCGTTATTAGCTGAAGTTCATTAGTTTCCATGAACTAAGATTTGGATCTGAAATGTTAAATGTTTGACTGCACACTGACATCTTTGGATAGTGACTGAACCTCAGGGCATTGGTCTTGTTAATTGATTAATCTATCGATGCATTCCTAATTTGATAACACTACAGGTGGTGGGAACTAGGCGGTAGGACCTAGTTGGAGAAAGTGGGTCATTGAAGGTGTTCCCTGTAAGGATACTCTTCCTTACCAGCATTTGTACCCTCTCTGTTTCCTAACTACTAGGCCTCCCCACAGTCCCAGAACCACAGAGAAGAAACCATGGACAAACTTCCCAAACTCTGAATCCAAAAGAATCTTCCCTCATGAAAGTTGTTTTTCTTGGGGATTTTGTCACAGTGATGGGCAAGCTGACTAACTCAGGGATCCCACCTTGTGTTTTTGGTAAATGTGTAATGTCTCCTGTTTACATTATGGAGCCATATGAAATAATTTGCTGCACTAACAAAATCCCTGGCTCTCTGCCTATTCCTTCCCTCCACAGTGGCAATCCTGGACCTTCTTTATTTTTATCTTTCTGCAGTACTATTTTCCGTAATGTCATGTAGTTCGAAGTGTACAGTTCACAGCCTGTGGGGCTGTCTTCTTTCACTTTCTAGTGCGTACTTAAACTTCTTCTACATCTTTCCATGGCTTAATGGGATACTTTTCGTTGTAAAATAGTAATCCATTATGGGTGTTTATATTTATTTACTTACTAAAGAACAGTTTGGCTTCTTCCAAGTTTTCATTTGTTTTCACTGAAATGATGTTTTAAAAGCTCCTGTTTCTGAGCATCAACCCTACAGATTCTACTTCTAAGGTCAGTGGACACAACCCATCGTTCTGAAACTTTCAAATGTCCCCAGAAGAGCCCGACCCCACATGGTTTAGAGACCTTCTTTGCCCATTTGTCCTTATGCCACAGGACTTAGGATTGTTTTCTAAGGTATTTTCCCTTAGCCTTGTGTGCAGGAGCCCGTTTGCCCACCAGACTGATACAAACACTGATGTATCTGTACACCCATGCATGCACAAACACACACGTGACCACTCTAGCCAACACCTACACACTCCGCCTGTCTCCCTTCTCTGTCAAGAGCATCCCATCCTCCCTCCTGGCCACATCTGCCATGGGCCAATGAAAAAATCCCGAGGAGCCATGTAACCAGAGCAAAGGCTTCTGGCTTTTAGACTGCAGACAGCCAGGCTGGTTCAAGCAGACACGCAGACAACTCCCATCCCACCCCTGACAGTGCAGCGAGTCCACGCAGCCTCACCTTCTTGTACTTGTGGGGGAAGGTGAACCTCTCAATGGTGTTCTGTACGGCTCCCCGAGTCACGTTTCCCAGCCTGTCCTCGAGCTGCAGCAGCTCCTGTACAGAGGGAAGCACAAGCACGTGTGTAGGAGCAGTCACGCGGCCAACCGGAAGCTGCACTCTCTCTTCATGCCCTCTTTCTCTCTCACTCTCAGTCCCGGACTTCCCAGCTCCTGCATTGGCACAGGCAGGCAGACAGAATGGTGTTTGAAAGGTAGCTCACCAATAGTCAGTGCCGCACAGGGCAACATACCTCGTAGCTCTCCCTAACAGCAGAGGTGTGTCGACTCGGATTCAGTCCCTGGAGAGCAAGGAAGTGAAGCTGCGGATAAGGGTAGTTCCGAATTTCATGGACAACCTGAAAGGGAGAAAACAGTTTGGACAGAGCGACAACTCAGGCTTCTCCTGGGCCCAATAGGCAACTCCTCCTCCCTCACCCACCAGCCAGCATGCCCGTGACCTGCTGCCGTCATCGGGGCTGTCCCTCCTGCTCTTGTTTTCTGCTCTATTCATGAAGAGCCAAGCTTGTGCATGGGCACTGATTACCATCAACACAGTGACGCTGACCCTGACTGAGCACCGCTACACAGTGTGGTGTTCTGAGCGCTTCCTGTGACTAGCAGTTCAACTGCCTCACCTGATGGAGACTGAGGGTACAATGTTTTACTGAGGGGGCGCAAATAAGGCACAGGGAGATTAAATAATCAGCTCATGTCACTCCAGAAAGTGGCAAGAGGCAAGACTCAGGCCCAGGCAGCTGAGTGGCAGGAGCCTCCTCTACTATCTCCAAGAGCAGCAGAATGGCTATGGGTCGGCACCAGGGCCAAAAATGTCAATAACCAAGGTGAATAGTTGTAATGCAGCTCTCTAAGAAAAAACAAACTTTTACAAACCCATGAGGAATAAAATATTAACCTTTTAAACATGGCTGAACTCTGATTTATGCAGCCGTCCATCACTCTGGCTAGTAATGAGACTGGCTGCCGTCACGCTTCCCACTGCATACATTAGGGCTGATTATTTAATCTCTCTAGGCCTCAGTTTGCCAATGTGCAAACTGGATATAATGCCGGGATGTATGGGGTACTGGCAGGAGGAGGTAAGATTAGTTATATGTGCTGCTCATAATTGTGTCTGGTATGTATATAGTAAGTGCTCCTTCCCCAAGCACAGGGTGACTAAATGGCAGAAACAAGGTTGAGAAGGGAGAATTCTATTTGGGGACAGCAACAAGAGTTTCTGTTGGCATTATGTGTCACTTGCAGCCCCAAACCCAGCCTGATCTATCTAGCATATTAGGGGTTCTGTAGCCCAAGAGGGCTGCTCCTGGGGAGGGGTGGCCTGAGTCTGCAGGGAGTACCCTCTAGGATCTCTTGTGACCTCGCAGCAGCTGTGTGAGAGACACACAGAGTGGTATCTGCATTTCATCTCACCAAAAAGTAAAGCCCAGGAAGACAGGAGTGTGTGTGTGTGTGTGTGTGTGTGTGTGTAGGCCAAAGATCAGCTTCAGGCATTGTTCTCTTTGTTTTGTGAGACTGAGGCTCTCAGGAGCACCGGAGGTACACTGAGAAGGCTAGGTTGGCGAGCCAGTGAGCCCCAGGGGTCTGCTGGCCACCATTCCCCCAGAACTGGTATTATAAGCACACACCACTATGCCTGGCTTTTTGTGTGTGTGCTGGGAATCAAACTCGGGTCCTCACACTTGTGCAGCAAATGCTGTACTGATTGGGCCACCTCCCCAGCCCAGGGGCAGCCTCTTTCAGCACTGGGCATTTCCCACAAGACCACGCCTGCCGCGCTGTTCTCTTGGACACCCACCCCTCAGCAGTGCTAACTTTTGCACTAGTCGCTCGCTCCGCGTCATCTTCCTCAAGATGGAATAGGAACTCAGGCGAGAGTGGAGGGCAGCTGCTGGTCCACCTAGGAGCCAGGACTCAGAGGACTCTGAGCCCTGCAGAGCCCTGGCCTCAGAGCACCACTACCATGCAGGGAGGAAGTTCATATGCCCCCAGGACCCTGCCACTCACCATCTGTGTGGAGGAAGAGTTTCGGGGGAAGTGGTGCATTCGAGGAGTTGCCAGGTAGTGCTGATAGTGCTGAGGGATGGGCCGCACCTGGAACTGAGCAGGACTCAAGCCGGCATCCACGCTGAGATCCCTGCGGGACACAGCCTCATGAGCTACGGGGCGGGGGAAGTGCCACCCTCTTTCAGAACTGGTCTCTCTCACGCACCACCTGGGGGCAAAGTCGGAGCCCACTGCCAACTCTGCCGCTCAGAGTGGGAGGAAATGGCATTAATAAATCTACCGACAAGCTGCTTACCCATAAAGATTGAGTCTCCATGCCCCTTCCAGACCTCTAAGACCTTTCAGTCAGAGGCACCTGGAGTGGCCCAGATCGTAAGAATCATTTTTCAAGAACCATGCTCCTTTCCAAGGAAGAGTCTAAAGGGAGGAGCAGGTCAGGGACACTGAGTAAAGGAAGCCAAGGCCAGATGGAGGGCGGGCAGTGGCCGTATTTTCACCATTCAGTAACACCCTGGTGAGAGACCCAGCTCATCCTAAAGGCAAGGAAGGAATCCTAGCACAGCCCACCACTTCCTAAAAGTTTAGAAAAACCCACTTCATTTAAACACGTGTTTCACTAAAACATTTCCGAATTTGATGGAAACCATAAACCCACAGGCTCAAATCATTAACAAATTTCACAAAGAAAGCCTGGTCTACAAAGTGAATTCCAGGACAGCCAGAGTTACACAGAGAAACCCTGTCTCAAAGTAAATAATAATCATATTTTAAAAAATAAAGATAAAAGCTTAAAATCAACCTGAGAGTAAAGAAAAAGGCCCCTCAGATGGAAAAGACGGATACAATTTGCCAAATTGTCATAAAAGCAGCCAGGAGAGAAAGGGAAGGCATCATTAAGAAAGAAACTATCAAGAATGAAGTCTGCACCCAGCCAAAAAAAAAAAAAAAAAAAAGTCTTTCAAAATGAAGGTGAAGTAAAGCTCTTTCCGATGCTCAGAGGCCGGAAGGAGTAACGCTTCTAGGCCAGCACTGTAAGAAATAGTCAGGAAAGATCTGCAGTCAGGAAGAAACGATGACAGTAAAAACTTAGATCCACACAAAGCAACAAAGAGGAATTGGTGGCTAATGAGAAATGGAGCTAACTCTGGTTCTGTGGGAAAAAATGCAAGAGAAACCGGAACATTCTGTGGTAACCAAAGGCCGGAGCGCTGCTGAGGTGCACCAGGGTCATGGCGGAAGGAATCTTCCCAAAGAAGCTTCCACCAGCCAGGTTTGGATAAAGTGCATGTCAGTAACTATAACTACAGAAAGATATTGCAGCCCGTGAAATGCATTAAATGTGGGCTGAGATGACGGTAAACAAAAGCATCCTCTTTGAAGGACGCCAGGGGACCAGCTCCTAACCCAGGGTGAGCCCTGGGAGGGTCCACACAAGACTGTGGAATGTGAAGCAGCCAGCCTCCCGGATCCTTAGTCTTTGTTTCTCAGGGCAGCAGGGAATGCAGAGAGGTTGGAAGTCTGGATGGATAAGCAAGCAAGGGCAGGGATGCCTCATGGCACTGCTCCCGACTCCTCCCAAGGGAGACCCTGCTGTCGGGTCCCACCGTAGACCCCGCCTGTGTAGCTCCACATAGCGCGTGCTTGTGTTCAGATCACTCATCTGTGTACGAGGGCTCTGGGTGCTCATGTGTGCTGAATTGAATCAAGCTGAATTGACTTGACTGCTGAGGGACAGAATTGAATCCAGACTGCAATTAAATCTTCCTAATTTGAATCTGCTAATTGGGAAAAGGCTGGGCAGAGGTTGGCAGTGCCATTGTTCGGTTTAGCGGGGAGTACCTGAGAGTGTTGAGAATGGGAGACAACAGAGCATGCTGACAACACTCTTTCTGCCGTCCGGAATCATGGGAAACAGTGGGCCAACAAGAGCTACACTGTGAATCCGTCCCAGCTACAAGGGAAGGGGCTCCCGAGACCGCCATGACCTAACCAGCTTTCCTGGTCCAGTGTGTGGCAGACATACACGATACACTGGTCTGTCAGCTTTTAAAAACAGTCATCACTCTTCTTCCATTAAGGAATATTCTCCCCTCCCCCCTGTATTCTGTATCAAGAAGTTGCAAGAGAAACAAAGAATTCCAAGATACACTTCACCTACACTTCCCCAAAGCCACCATTACAATCTATCTGTTTCTCTCTGTGACTCTTCATGTGCGTGTAAGCGCACATACATATGTAAGTGTATGTGCAGACACACACATAGGTGTGTATATGCGCATCCCTCTTTAGAGTGAGCTACAGCAGTATACCACACTATCTTCTGAACAAATCTGCCACCATCCTCCTGAGATCAGTTGTGGCTGCTTGGGCATCAGTCAGGATAGGGCCTGAGGACTGCTGGCATTCCCCCAGGGAAGGAGGGAGGGAGATCACTGAACTTCTAAGCAAGGCTGCTTTGGGGCCACCCATGCTCCTGTAAGCAACTCTCCACCTGCACACTGGAAGGAAGCCCAATATACTCATTGGCTCTCTAGGGGATACTTGGGTGAAATCAAACTTTTGATTTGTCATTTGGACCTTCAAGGGTGTGAGTGGACACTGGTCCCATTTCCCCAGGCAAGGGATTTTAGCAAGCACTACTCAGAAATCCACTGCATCCACTGATTTCTAGGTGTTACCTAGAAATACTCAGTGAACTACACATTGTTTTAGATTATTTGCTGGGGATCTAGTCTGACTCTAGTTAAGACCTGGTCTTTCCTGGGTGACAGCTGGAGAGGTGAGTGGGCTGCAAGGTCCCGGAAGCATGGGGTATCTGGAGGACTTCCTAGGGGTCTACCTGTCTCTAAGACACAACACCCTGTGTCTTCCTCTTCAGCCTATCCACAGTCCTTACCTTACCTCTATCTCTACACAAGTCACCCTCCCTGCACGGCCTTGCTGACAAGCTTTACCGTTTCTCTGTGGATTCTTCCAGACCACCCTCTCCAGGAAGTCTTCCCTGACCTCTGCATTCACCTCCCAAGCTGTTCTCTAGAGTCTGCTGGTTCATAGCTCTACTGAGCTTGGGAAATGTTTCACATCCTGTCTCCCTTCTTTCTGGCAGGACCATCAACACCAAGCCCCAGACTTAGCCAGGATAGTGTCCGGTTACAATGCATTACTTCCTGTAGCCAGGCCCTGTAGGTGAGTGAAGTAGACACGGTAAACTGAGGTCTACCCTGCATCAGTGATAACAAATCAGAAACTCCATGGGTCTGAGGAACTCTCCCTCCCTCCCTCCCGCATCTCTCTCACTCACTCACTCACTCACTCACTCACTCACTCACTCACTCACTCACTCACTCACTCACCAGTCAGTGCCCTCAGCCAGATACCGGGGCTGAGGTGTCTGCAGTTGGTGGCCAAAGTCAAAGCTGGGGTGGAGGCGGTGGGGGTGGACAGACACTCGATCCTGACTCCGCCTGTACGGAAAGAAAGAAGTCTTTGTGTTAGCGGCTGCCTGGACCCCCCCCCAAGCTCCCAAGAGCTCTAAATGATGTTCCCTCCATCTACTGAGGATGCCCCCACTCTGCTATCCCCCACAGAAACTGGAGTTCCCAAACACCAAGGAATTTCCCAGGTGAGCAGAAACTGGTCCCCCGAATCTTCCCATGCACTCCCATCATTCTCTTCTCTCCCTCACTCTCTACCTAGCTTTCAAGGAAGTTCTCCTTCTCCAGGAAGACTTCCCTGAACACACCAAAATCATGGCAGCCTTTCTCCTTGACTTCCCACAACACTGTCGGGCTGTCCCCAGACACTCCAGCTGTCTATTCACCAATGCCTAGGGTCCTATCTATCACTGAGTTCAAGTTCTCCCAAGCACTCTTAAGAGTCCCTGAAGCCCTTTAGGTAGCTTGAGAGGGAAAAAAGATCACTATTTTTCTTTTTACCCTTAACTCTCTTTCAAACAAAAGGTGGGACTTTCCAGAAACTTTGTGATGTAGGACTCCTCAAGATCTAGTACAGAAGCAGACATGAGGGGCACAGATAAGTTCTGTCAAGCTGTGTGTCACAGAGACAGAAGAGACATTTTGAGTGGCTCTTCTCACCAAGTTGATACACGGTCATTTTCATAGGACTGTTTATAGCCCTGGGAACCTACAGGTCACTCAGTCAGGGAAACAGGTAGACAAGCTTGAGATCTTCGCTCTCCCTCCTCTCTCCAGATTCAGTCCCCTCAGTCTCATCTCTAGCTCTGTTGCAGCCCACACGCTGTGGCCTCTCCTCACCCTCTGTCCCATTACCAGGGGACTAACCAGATCCTCCTGGAGCATTCTGCTGTCCTCTCTCCTGTGAATCCACTTAGCACCCCTGTCTAGTCCACACTCATTCCTAAATGTCAGCTCCCAATACCCAGAAACACAGTTTACCTGGAACCTAGTAGCCACACCTATCAGGATCACAGTCACCACAGTTTCTTGAGAACCAGAGACGCAACAGAAACCAAGGAACAAATCACCCACCCAACAAAGACAAGACCGGAGGATATCAGCACCTAGAATTGCAATCTTCCCAAACTCACATACCTACACACCAGCAATCAATAACATCCACAACTATATACCTCCACTAGAGCCCAGCAACCCTACCACAGCAGATCCTAAGTACTTCAACATAGCTGAAGCACAAGACAAAGACCTTAAAACAGCCTGTATGGATATATGATAGAGGTCTTTAAAAAGGAAATGAATGAATCCCTTAAAGAATTCTATGAGAATACAAACCAACAATGAAAAGAAAGGAATAAAACCATTCAAGACCTGAAAGTGGAAACAGATTCAACAAAGAAAACTCAAACTGAGGGAAATCTGGAAATGAAAAATTTAGGAACTAGAACAGAAATCTCAGAGGCAAGTCTCATGAACAGAATACAAGAGATGGAAGAGAAAAATCCCAGGCCCTGAAGACACAATACAAGAAATGAACACCTCGCTCAAAGAAAATGTTAAATGTAAAAAAAATTCTGGCACAAAACAACCAGGAAATCTGGGACACTCTGAAAAGATGAAATCTATGAATAATGGGAATAGGGGAAGAAGAAATCCAGGTCAAAGTCTCAGCAAATATTTTCAACAAAATTTTCCTAATCGAAAGAAGGAGATGCCTATCCAGGTACAAAAAGCATACAGAACACCAAATAGAATGAACCAGAAAATGAAGTACCCTCATCATGTGATAACCAAAACACTAAACATACAGAACAAAAAAAAAAGAAAACTAAAAGCTGCAAGGGAAAAAGACCAAGTAACATATGAAGGTAGACCTGTTAGAATTACACCCAACTTCTCAATGGATACTTTAAAAGCCAAAGGGGCCTGGTCAGACTTCTTTCTTTCTTCCTTTCTTTCTTTCTTTCTTTCTTTCTTTCTTTCTTTCTTTCTTTCTTTCTTTCTTTCTTTCTTTCTTTTCTCTTCCTTTTTTTAATTTAAGTTAGAAACAAGCTTGTTTCACATGTCAATCCCAGCTCCCTCTCCCTTCCCTCCTCCCTCGCCCTCCTCACCAGGCCCCCAGGTCCCCACCCAATCTCCACTTTGATCCCCAGGAAGGGTGAGGCCCTCCATGGTGGATATCCAGAGTCCATCACCTCATCCAGGGCAGGACCCCAGGCCCTCTCACTGTGGGATGGGCACTCAAAGTCTATTTGTATGCCAGGGATAAATACTACCCAAGGCCCCATAGATTACCTAGGCCTCCTCACTAACACTCACATTCAAGGGGTCTGGGTCAGTCCCATACTTTCCACACAGTCATCAATCTGGGGTCCAAGAGCTCCTCCTTGTTCAGGTCAACTGTTTCTGTGAGTTAAACCAACCCAGTCTTAATTCCTTTGCTCATCAGTTCTCCCTTTCTGTCACTGGATTCCAGGAGTTCAGTTCAGTGTTTGTCTGTGGGTATCTGTCTCTGCTTTCATCAGTCACTGGATGAAGGTTCTGTTTCCCAGACTCTCTGACAGTGGGATTGTATACTGGCACTCTCCTGATTCATGGCTAAAATCCATATACGAGTGAGTACATACCATGTTTCTCTTTTTTATGACTGGGTTACCTCACTCAAGATGGTTTCTTCTAGTGCCATCCATTTGCCTGCAAATTTCAAGATTCCATTTTTTTTTCCTCTGGATAGTACTCCATTGTATAAATGTACCACTTTTCTCTATCCACTCTTCAGTTAAGGGACATTTAGGTTGCTTCCAGGTTCTGGCTATTACAAATAATGCTGCTATGAACATAGTGGAACAGACATCCTTGTATGAATGTGCATTTTTTGAGTATAAAGGGAGGCTTTTTCCCTGAGAGAAGCCTTCCCGCCAGCCTGGTTCTAGAGCCGCATCAGTCCCAAATAAACACACAGGAGGCTATATTAATCATGAAGCTGTTGGCCTTGCTTGTTTCTTACTGGCTAGCTCTGACTTAAGTAATTACCCCATAATTGTTCATCTAAGTATGTCTCTTACCGGAAAAGTTTCCAGGCTTCCTACCCCATGGCATTACATCTCGACTCCTGTGTTTCTCCTTCCCAGAGTCCTCCTGGACGCCTAGTCCCACCTATCTAGATTCCTATTGGCCAGCAGTGCTTTATTGACATATACATAGGACTTCCCCAACAGTATATGCCTAAGAGTGGAATTGCTGGGTCTTGTATTAGACTGATTCCCATTTTCTTGAGGAATCTCCATACTGATTTCCAAAGTGGTTGTATGAGTTAGCACTTCCACCAGCAGTGGAGGAGTGTTCCCCTTTCTCCACATCCTCTCCAGCATAATAAACTGTCATTGGCGTTTTTGATTTTAGTCATTCTGACAGGAGTAAGATGGCATCTCAGAGTTGTTTTGATTTGCATTTCCCTGATTGCTAGGGATGTTGAGCACTTTCCTAAGTGTCTCTCAGCCATTTTAGACTCCTCTGATGAGAATTCTCTATTTAATTCTGTACCCCAATTTTGATTGGATCCTTTGGTGTTTTGGAGACTTGCTTCTTGAGTTCTTTGTAAATTTTGGAGATCAGCCCTCTGTCAGATGTGGGGTTAGTGAATATCTTTTCCCAATCTGTGGGTTGCCTGTTTGTCTTGCTGACTGTGTCCTTTGCCTTACAGAAGTTTCTCAGTTTCAGGAGGTCCCATTTATTAATTGTTGATCTTAGTGTCTGTGCTACTAGAGTTATGCTCAAGAAGCAGTTTCCTGTACCAATTCGTCAAAGGTACCTCCCACTTTCTCTTCTAACAGGTTCAGTTGAGGTCTTTGATCCATTTGGATTTAAGTTTTGTGCATGGCGATAGACATGGATCTACCTGCAGTCTTCTACATGTCAGCCTCCAGTTATGCCAGCACCATTTGTTGAAGATGTTTTCTTTCTGGACAGACATTCTATAAACTCTAAGAGACCACAGATGCCAGCCTAGCAAACTATACTATACTATACCCAGCAAAACTTCCAGTCACCATAGATGGAGAAAATAAGACATTCCATGATAAAACCAAATTTAAGCAATGTCTATCTACATATCTGAACCTACAGAAGATGCTAAAGAAAAACTCCAACCAAAAGAGTTTAACCATATCCAAGAAAACACAAGAAATAAATACCCCCAGATCAGCAAATCAAAGAGGGGAAACATACAGGTATACACACACACACACACACACACACACACACACACACACACCAGGACAGCCAGAATCACATGGTGGAACCCTGTCTTGAAAAAAGAAATAGGGAAAAGAAGGAGGAGGAAGAGGAGGAGGAGGAAGAAATAAATTAAAGACTTTCTAGAATGGAATGAAAATGAATAGGCAACAAAACCAAGCTTATGGGACAAGTGAGTTCACAGAACTAAGTGCCTACATTAAAAAGAGAGAGAGAGAGAGAGATTCCACTAGTAACCTAACAGCACACCAGAAAGCTCTAGAACAAAAAGAAGCAATCACTCCCAAAAGTAGATGACAAGAAATAATCAACCTAAGGGTTAAAACCAATAAAATGGAAACAAACAAACAAATAAAAATATAATGCAAAGAATCAATGAAACAAAGAGTTGGTTCTTTGAAAAAAATCATTAAGATTGACAAACCCTTATACAAATTAACTAAAAGGTGGAGAGACTATCCAAATTCATAAACTTGGAAATGAAAGGGGATAAGAGGGAACATTACAACAGACACCAAGGAAATTCAGAGAATCATAAGGACATACTTTTAAAAATGTACTCCACTGAATTTGAAAATTTGAAAGAAATGGATCATTTTCTCAATAAATACTACTTACCAAAGTTGAATCATGATCAGATAAGCAATTTAAATGACCTATAATCCCTAGTGAAATAGAAGCAGTTATTAAAACTTCCTCAACCAAAAAAAGCTCAGGGCCAAATGGTTTTAGCACAGAATTCTACTTGACTTTCAAAGAAGAGTTAATGCCAATATTCCTCAAATTATTCTACAAAATATAAACAGAAGGAACATTGCCTAATTTGTTTCATGAGGCCAGGGTTACCCTGATACCCAAATCATATAAAAACCCAACAGAGAAAAAGAATTGCAGACCAGTTTCTCTTATAAACATAGATTCAATTTTTTCAATAAAGTACATGCAAACTGAATCCAAGAACACACCAAAAAGATCATCCACCATGATCAAGAAGGCTTAATCCCAGAAATGCAGGGATGGTTCAACATATATAAAAAAGTAATTCACCTTATAAACAAACTGAAAGAAAAAAAACACATGATCATCTCATTAGATGCAGAAAAAGGCCTTACCAAAACTCAACACCTTTATGATGAAAGTCCTGGAGAGATTAGAGATACAATGGACATACATAATGTAATTAAGGCAGTTTACAGCAATCCCATAGCCAACATCAACTTAATGGAGAGAAACTCAAAGCAATTCCATTAAAACCAGGAACAAGGTAAAGTTGTCCACTTTCTCCATACCTATTCAATACAGTACTTGGAATCTTAACTAGAACGATAAGACAACTAAAGGAGATCAAGATAATACAAATTAGAAAGGAAGAAATCCAAGTATTTTTATTTGCAGATTATATGATAGCATACAATAATGACCCTAAAAATTCCACCAGAAAACTCCTACAGCTGATAAACACTTTTAACAAAGTAGCTGGATATAAAATTGGCGACAAAAATCAGCAGCCCTCCTATATACAAATAGCAAATAAACTGAGAAATAGATCAAGGAAAACACCTTTCACAAAAGCCTCAAAAATATAAAATATCTTGGTATAAGTCTAAGTTTGTATGATAAAAAAACTTTAAGGCATTGAAGAAGATATTTGAAGATGGGAAGATCTCCCATGCTCATGAATCAGTAGAATTAATATAGTAAAAATAGTCATGCTACCAAAAGCAATCTACAGATTTAAAATTCCACAAAATTCTTCACAAATCTTGAAAGGATATTTTTTCAGTTTCATATGGAAACACAGAGAGAGAGAGAGAGTGAGAGAGAGAGAAAGAGAGAGAGAGAGGGAGAGAGGGAGGGAGAGAGAGAGATACTAGAAAAGCTAAAAACAATTCTGAATAATAAAGAACTAGGAGAAGCATCCTATCCTTGATTTCAAATTGTACTACAGAGCTATAGTAATAAAAACAGCATAATATTGGCATAAAACCAGACACTTTAATCAATTGAATTGACTTGAAGACCCTAGACATAAATAAACACACCTGTGGACTCCTGGGTTTTTTTATATATATAAAGAAGTCAGAAATACACACTGGAAAAAAGACAGCATCTTCAACAAATGATGCTGATCAATCAAGATGTCTGCATGTATCTGAATGTACATAGATTTTATACTTATCACACTGCACAAAACTCAATTCCAAAAGGATCAAGAACTGCAACATAAAACCAGATACACTAAACCTAATAAAAGAAAAAATGGGAAACAACCTTGAATGCATTGGTACAAGAGACAACTTTCCTGAACAGAACACCAATAGTTCAGGCACTATGACCAACAATTAATAAATGGGACCTCATAAAACCAAAAAGCTTCTGTTTAGCAAAGGACACCATCATTCAGACAAAGCAGCAGCCTGTAAATTGGGAAAACATTCTTTTTTCAACTAAACATCTGACAGGAGGATAATATCCAAAATATATAAGGAACTCAAAAAAACTAGATATCAAGAAAACAAACAACCCAATTAAAATGGGGTACAAATATAAATAGAGAATTATCAGTAGAGGAAACTCAAAGACTGAGAAATGCTTAACCATCAGCATCCTTAGGCCAAGGGAAATGCAAATCAAAGCTACCCTGAGATTCCATCTTATCCCACTCAGAATGGCTAAGATCATCACAAGGGACAGCTCACACTGGATGTGGAGGAAGGGGAACTCCTTCATTGCTGGTGGGAGTACGAACTTATACAGCCCTACGGAAATCAGTATGGTGGTTCCTCAGGAAGCTGGGAATCAATCGACTTCAAGATCCTGCTATACCGTTCTTGTGGCATATACCAAAGGACACTTCACTCTGTCAAAGAGACATTTGCTCAACTATGTCCATTGCTGCTCTACTCACAATAGCCAGAAACTGGAAACAACAGAAGAATGGATAAAGAAAACGTGGTGCATTTACACAACAGAGTATTACTTGGTGGTTTTAAAAAATGAAATAATTAAATCCTCTGGTAAATATATGGAAGTAGAAAAAAATCATCCTGGGTGAAGTATTCCAGACCCAGAAAGACATATATGGTATTGTATGTGGATATTAGCTCTTAAGTCAATGATAGCCAAACTACAATCCACAGAGCCACAAGAGGTTAGGTATAGAGTAAGGGACCAAAGAGGACAGACAGATCTCATTAGGAAAGAGAAATAGTTATGGATGGTGGGGTGAGGGCCTGGAACAGGAGGAGGGGAGAGGGCAATGAAGGAGTGAATACAGGGAGAGAGAGCTAAAATTAAAGGTCATTTGAAGAGTAGTACAGAATTTTAATACAGTAAAGGCTTCCCTACAATACATACTATATGAGGGCAACCTAAATGAAATTGACAAATAAAGGGCAACAGAGCCCCAGCTGTGTGTCTCTTGTCACCAAATGAGCTTTCAGTACCAGGACTGGGTTACATATAATTGAGTTCTTGGTCAAAGGGAACCCATAGGAATTCCTAGATAACCCAGGATGTTGCCAAGACTGTAGGCCGCTCCCTATAAACGGACAGCAAGGCCCGTTGCAGAAGATAACACCTACACAAGCCATTGAACATGGAGAAGTTGAGCTGGTGCCTAGACAGAGCCTTCACCCCTATATTCTAGTGTTTCTGGCATAGGAAGGTACTCTGCAGGCTACCACAAGAGAAACAAATGCCAACCCAGACATAAATCCTTTGATCTACAATACCGCCCTGCCTGCAAGAGATGCTAATGCAATGGGGAGGCTGATTCAACTTAAGGCCCACTCCGTGAGATGGAGCCCACACCCGACACTGCCTGGGTGACCAAGAACCTGAGACTAGATAGTCCTGGGACCTAAGGTAAACTCAAATACTACCGCTCTTAAAAAATAATAATAAATTAAAAGGCAATAAAATGACTCCTTATGATATTCTGCTGTGCCCATAGATTGGTGCCTTGTTCAGACATCATCAGATGTTTCCTTCTGCAACAGATGGGCACAAATACAGAGATCCACAGCCAGACATTACGCACACATACACACACACACACACACACACACACACACACACACACACACACACACACACAGAGAGAGAGAGAGAGAGAGACCTTGAACACACCTCTCTAAGTGGGATGTCTCCTTCAAATCCCTGTCCTCAGAGCTTAGGAGACCCTGAGAAAGAGGATGTGGAAAGAGGCTAAGGGCCAGCAGGGAGGACGACACAGGAGAATGAAGCCTTCTAAATCAACATGATGAAAGCTCCTATGAACTCACAAACAGAAGCAGCATACATGGGCCCGCATGGGTCTGCACCAGGTCCTCTGTGTATATGTTATGGATTCCAGGTTAGTGTTTTTATGGGATTCTTTAGTAGGTCTCTGGTTCTGTGTCTTTTCTTGGGCTCTTTTCCTACTGTTGGTTTTGTTCATCCAATTCTGACTGTTATTTTGTGTGTGTGTGTGTGTGTGTGTGTGTTATTTTATTATTACCCTTTAGAAGCCTGTTTGTTTCCTAATGAGAGACAGAAAAGAAATGGATCCCGATAGGAGGGGAGATGGGGACGGGGAAACCATATCAGGATATATTATGTGAGAAAAAATCTATTTTCAATAAAAGGAAGAGAAATAAAATTAAAAAGAGAACAATTTATAAATTTAGCACGAGGAGTCTGTTTTTTTACACACTTTAAAGTTTCTAACGTGGTAAACCCTTATAAGCAAAGGCTCTTGGCAGTCATTAACTTTTTAGTGTGAAAAGGGCCCTGAGACCCAGAAGCCTGAGAGGCACCCAACTGTGCTCATCCATTTCTTCTTAACAGCTGAGTTGCAGACAGGTAGTGACTTGTCACATGGGACATCTGGTCACTGCTAATTCCATGTGGTTTTATGGATGTACAGCCAGTCTTCAACTCCAACCTTCAACTATTCAACTAGACGTTGGCCCTTTGGAGGCGAGAGCTAGAACCAGTCATTTCCTTCGCGATTCTGGTGTGGTTTGGGGAAAGTAGGAATCAGATTGCCATGAGGGCTGGAGGAAACTTGAGAAGCCGGTAGTCAAACCTCCCACGCTACAAAAGTTCACCGTGAACGTCCCCGGCCACTGCTTACCCAGCTGCTAACCCTGAACCTAGGTGATGTGAGGAGTCACACTAGACTCCCACCTGAATGAACGCCAATAACTGAGGCAAAAGCCATCATCGCCTGCGGAACCACTTGGTACTGCATCCAAGCTTGGCTGATTGAAGCCCAGCCCCAGCCCTTACACCCTCCACGGCCCCACCCTCTTTTCTCGGCCCCGCCCCTGCCGACCTGGGATGCGAGACGAGCCTGCGGTGCTGAGCTTCCAGGAGCTGCTGCTGCAGCAGGTATTGCTGGTGCAGGGCCTGAGGTAGGAAGGAGGGACCAGTGACGTCCTGGAACTGCAGGGTGGGCAGCGGGGTGAGCGACTGGTGCAGCGCTCCGCTGTGCTGGTGGGCCGGGGCCATGTGGGCGCTGAGGCCCGGCTGCGACTGCACGGGGTGTGCCAGCGGGAAGTCCGGGGCTAGCTGCTGCGGCTGCGGGGGGCCCAGGTGGAAGTGGCGGCAGGAGGTAGCGTGAGGATGCTGAGACCTTTGAAAGGGGGCACCTGTAGAGGCAAAAGACAAGAGGTCTGCGTGAGGACCTGTGAAAGGCTCTCCCTCCTCAGCTGGGGTCCCCACACTGGGGCAACCTGGAGCTGGTGAAAGGCAGGACCTTCCTAACACAGCTGATCTACAGCCACCATCTTTAATCCTTCCATGTAAAGGTCCTGTGTTCCTTAGCAGACGAAGAGTGTTTGCTTTAAAGTCCAGAGAAGCAGGCGGTTTATAAATAGCACTCGTGTTAAAGGTGTTTAACGGCCCCTAGAGCCAACCTGGCTTTCTTAAATTAGACTCCTCACATGTAATATCCTACAGGGCGACTTTGCCAAACTCTGGGCTTTAAGGAGCAAGTTTTATTCCAGCAAAAACAACAACAACAAAAGTTGCCATTTTAAGCGGGAAGAGATCATAGAAAATTACCTTTTAAAATACTGATCCAGCCTGGTGTTGTTAATTCTAGCTCTCAGGAGGCAGGTGAATGTCTGTGAGTTCGACAGGAGCCTGGTCTACAAAGCAAGTTAGTTCCAGGACAGCCAGGACTGTTACACTCTCCAAAAACCAAAACAAAATTACCAAAAAAAAAAAAAAATCCTGGTAGATTTAATACACATCTGCCTCTTCCCCAACCGCACTAACATAAGAGTAAAAGGATAAGAAAAAGATGGACAGAGGGAACAGGAGAGGTGACACCAGCAGACAACAGATGTCAACAGAACTTGGAAAGTAGATGGCAGAATTAGCAAAACTGAGAAGTCAGAAACCCAGCACCTACCAAAGGGGCAGAGGCAGTCTACGGATGGTGGGCAGATGCCCCGTGAGGCAGGAAGGGTCAGGAAGGGAGGCAGCAGCTACTTTGGAAGGCAGGAAACAGCATGGGACTTAGCCCGGGGAGGATGCTAGGTCTGCTTGCTGGCCAGCTACAAGCACAGCTCCTCCCCTTTCCCATCCTCCCAGAAAGGCCCTAGTGAATGGGGGAGGGGACACTAGGCATAGAAGGCAGAGGTATAAACAAAGTCAGAACAGGGTAAAAATCTATCCCAAAGTCTTTTCCTCTGTCACCAGGTATGTGACATTGCTCTGCACTCTACACAGGAACCCTGGGATGGAAACTGGGACTGCTTCTTCCAAGAAAGTTGTTGGTCCCAGAAGTGCTCTCCGGGTGCTTGCAGTTCAGAACACCCCAATAAAAATGTCTAGGTCCCCACCAGCCTCTGTATCCTGAGGCCCACTTGTTGGAAAATTATTTCTCATATGTGTGCATAGAGCTTCTGAACAGCTGTTAGTATCCTATTTTGACATAATAAGGCTACAAAGTAGAGAGAACATACCAACCTTTATATGAGAAAGAGAAAAGAAAAAAATCAAGAGAAGAGAGATAACACAAGGACCAGAAAAGAAATTCCAATATCTTTTCTGAAGTAAGATATGAGATCTGTGAAGTAACAGGAAGTGCTCTCACAAGGAAGGATGACAAAGATGGAGGGCCCTTGGAAATTAAAATCACAAGGTAGAGTCTGGAGTTTAGCAGGAGAACCGGAGGGAAAGCCGAGGATGTGTCTCAGGACGCAGATGAGACAAAACTCTGAACTTCACTTGTAAGAGAATCTAGGAGACAGTGAGGAGAGGATCATGGGGGAAACCTTTTGAAAAATACTTCCGAGACAGAAGGTCTGTTTTTCCAGATAGGAAAGGTGGTCTCTGTGTACAGCAGGGCAAATGATGGCAAGAACCACACACCAGGACATACGATGAAACGTGTGACCAATAAAGACAGAGAGACAATTCTAGAACCCTCAGAGTACACAGATCTGCAAACAGTCACAAGTCAGAATACCATGATGTATTTTCAAATACACTATGGTGTGATACCATTAGATATTAGAAGATTAAAAATTTATAGAGAAAGTGCCTTCCAGGTACTGGGGGCAGGAATTGGACACACTATCTAGAATTCTGTGTCTAAACAAACCATTAATCAACTGTGGGGATAGAAAAAAAGCTATTTCAGGGTTTGTTTGTTTTTGTTTGTTGACAAGAGTCTTGTGTAGCCCAGGCTAGCCTCTGTTGGAAAGAAAAGAAATGGAGTTGTTTTTAACAGATTTTGGTGAGATCAAAGCCAGCTCTGCCATAGAATTATGTGAGACACACACATATACTTTTAAATTTTCACACCAAAAGAGACAGGTAAAATTAATTTTCACTCCCATAGATTAAGGAGGTTCATAGAAATGAACTGACATGAAATTGCCCTTCAGGTGAGCTTTACTGGAAGAGAGATCCTTTCAATCACAGGGATCATGACTAGGCCTTGAAATGGGAGTGCCTTTGAGGAGACACAGCATCATTGCATAGGCTGCATCGTGGGGCCTTGAAGCCCTTCCCATCCAGAGAAGTATCTCAGACTCTTACAGGTTTTCAAAGGGGTGACAGACTCCATATCACATGGTCTAGCCTGACCTGGTCTTCTTGGCAGGACTTAGAAGGCAGGAAGACACTGGGCTGTAGTATAAATTTGCCTTAGACCTGCACAGCTGAGGGAGGAAGACTGGGTTCCCCACCCCTACCCCTTGTGGAGGGCTGTGTGTTCTCAAGGTGCCTGTCAGCCCTTTATCCTAATGGACAGACTGATGGGCAGAGAGGCAACTGAAAGATCTGTGAGATCATTGTCTAGAACAGTAGTTTTAAACCTGTGGGCTGGGACCCCTTTGGTTGTCACCTAAGGCCACCTGCATATCAGATATTGACATTACAATTCACCACAGTAGCAAAACTACAGTTGTGAAGTAACAACAAAATAATTTCATGGTTGGGAGTCACCACAACATGGGGAGCTGTACTAAAGGGTCAAAGCGTTAGGAAGGTTGACAACCATTTGTCTAGAACTTACTGTGTTCAAGGATGACCTTGAACTTCTGATCCTCCTGCCTCTGCCTCCAGAGTACTAGGATTACAGACATGCACCACCATGCCAGGTTCAAACCATAACCTTTGCTCCCTCCGTAAAAGGTACTGACGCATATTTAGAAAGGAAAGCAATGAAACGGGAGGCCATACTCTGAAGAGGTGGAATATTCCCAGGCATACAACTGCACGGGACTCCAAACAGGCTGGGGAATCTGAAAGGTTGTCTGGGTAGAGTAGGATGGAAACGGTATGTGAAGGAGTTTTATACATCGGTAGAGACTTCCACAAGAATTTGCATAAATACCGTAAGAAACAAGGCAACCATAAAGGGGCAGTGATCATCTCCAGGGAAATAAAAAGTTATGCAAGCAAGTGTAATTATCACACATTACTTGGCTCAACAATGAATAATATATACTAGCCATAAAACAAACAGCAAGCTGTATTAGAACAAAAAAAAGTGTGAAGAGCATAAGCAATGGTCTGGAATTTTTAAATCAAAAATAGCAATCTTATGGTTTAGTTTGAAATTTAAATAATAATGTGCACAATTCAGGAAGTAAATGCCCAGCTCGAAAAGAGTTAGAAGCGTAGAGCCCTGGGGAATTTGACTCTAGAGGAGCAAGTAGGTATTTGGCTAAAGTTATCTCACATTGAAATTTGTAAATGAGGCAAGTCTCATACACTTTTGTAACCTACATTTTTGAAAACGGCATGAAAGTAAAAACAATTCCTGCCTGACTCCGAGTCAGTCAGAGAAGATTTGCCTAAAACATCAATTTCCATGAGCATCTGAAGAAGTCGGGTCCCTCAGCCATGTGAATACTGGCTTCAGGGTATCCAGAAACCGGAGCCTGAGAGGGCAAACACTAGTTCCCCCTTCTCAAGCCTCCGTCCATCATCACACACAATAAAAGGAGAGGGAAAGAGGGCACGAGGAAGAAAGAAAAGGGTTGCTCTGAGAAGATCCAGGAGCGGAAGACAGGTGGAACCGCACAGGAAAGAGAGAGGCAGAGTTGCTTGTTTTTAAAGGACATTGGTGAGACTAAAGCCAGCTCTGCCATAGACCATGTGGAACACACACGGGTGATTTTCAATTTTCACATCAAAAGAGACAGGTGAAATTAGCTGTAATAATGTGTAACAATATACCTAAAGCGGTCTTTCAACATATATTCAGTATGAGAGTGTTTTGAGCTATCTCCTGTCCTGTTTTCATACAAGTCTCCACGGCCGGTTGTGGTTTTGCCCTTCCAATGCCTTCCATCCAGCGTACTCCGTGGTGTGTGGCATCCCTGTGGACAGTGCCGCTATCAGGAAGAAGCCAACACCACAGAACTCCAGCCTTCCAGCCTTTCCCAGATGGTCTTCCCTCAGATGGAATGGCAACCCCTCTCCCTCCCATCTGTGAAATCCACATGCCATAGCCTGGTGTTAGAGCTTTGTACTTCTAGTCTCCCTAAGTCCTGTGTGGTGTGGATGCTCAGTGCATGCCTGATTACGGGAGGAAATGAGGGGAAACAGAGGGGCTAAGGGGCTGGGGCCTGACTGAACTGAAACCTGCTTGAAACTGACCGAGAGGAGTAAGGAGGCTCTGGGTGAACCATGGGTTTAACATGGCAGGGACAGATCATGCCAGTGGCCAGTGTGCTCTGCCTCTGCCTTTCTGGAACCTGTCTTGCTGCCAGGAGCAGCCTCTGCCTCCCCCGCATCCCACAGCCCCTCCCGCAGCCTCTAGCTGGCGTATGTGAAAGGCAAGACAGATGCCCATCTCCTCCAGCAGCACCACTGGAAGAAGACAGACTAAAGCGCCTGTCAAATGTCACTAAATGCAAGTGTTGCCTGCAGAGGACTCTTCTGTTGTGGGACTAACTGGGCATTCCAAGTCACTTCTATCCCCAGGGAGTTCCTGGGCCTCATCACCGATACAGAAGTGCACAGACGCTTGGTTTGGTCTCCAAAACCAACAGTGAAACTCGGGGAATACGGAGTCTTTGACAAGCCAACAGCCAGAGATATACGAACAACTCTAACATCTCCAAGTCCCCCACCCTTTAGTAGACAACCCACATTTTTTCCCATTAGAGTCATTCCATCCCAT